GTGGCCATCAAGCAGCTGAAGGCCGCGCGCATGACCCCGGCCCAGGTGACCCTCTTCCAGAACGAGGTGGCCCTGATGTGGCTGCTGCGCGACGCGCCGAACGTCGTCCGGCTGTACGGCTACAGCGACCAGCCGCCGGCCATCGTGATGGAGCGCTACCAGACGGACCTGGCCACGCTGCTGCACTCGGACGTCCCCCTGGACCAGGCCACCATCTTGGACATCGTGCAGCAGTGGGCCTCCGGGCTGGAGGCCATGCACGCGCAGGGCATCGCCCACCGGGACCTGAAGCCGGCCAATGTCTTCGTCAGCCAGCACGCCGCGGGCGCCTGGATCGCGGCCCTCGGCGACCTGGGCACCTCGCGCAACCTCAGCACCGACCGGTCGTCGGCCCTGGTGAACCAGGCGCCGGAGCTGAATGCCCTGACCGGGCGCTACGCCGCGCCCGAGGTCCTGGCCGCCTTCCACCGGAAGCGCCCGCTGGAGTCGGAGCTCCTGCTCCCGGCGGACATCTACTCCGCGGCCGTCATGCTGTGGGAGTGCCTGGCCCGGGCCATTCCCTGGCACGGGTGCACCTTCGACCAGATTTCGGCCCAGGTCCTGTCCGGGGTCCGCCCCCCGGCGGACGGCCTCCACGGGCCGCTGGCGGACCTGCTCCACATGGCCTGGGACTCGAATGGCCACACCCGGCCGCCGGCCGCCGCCCTCCGGCAGAAGGCCGCCATGGCCGCCCTCTCGGCTGATCGGTGAGACATGGCGGCCCATGTCGCACGTCCTCCCGGGGGCTCCCTTTTCCCCGGCAAGGCAGGCGCCCCTCCCGGCGCGCGGCCGGGCCATTTCCGGCAATACAACACTCATACGTGCCCTTTTTCGCATCCCCGCACGTGCCCCGGGCGTGATCGCAGTTCACACCTTGAGCCGGTTATGCCGAGTGAAAGATGAGGGGGTGATCTCAGAGACCTTGGGGCTGAGAGAGGCGGATTTGGTAAAATGAAGGGAAAGAATGAAGCATATATATCCCCGAATCTTTAACTACATCAGGTGATGTGCGTTACACACCTTTCCCGCCCCGCACCGTGAAGCGACGCGGCCCCCGGGCGGGATCGGGCAAAGCGCGAGCAAGCGCGGCGACGTGGATAGCGGCTGCGAGGGATACCCCGCAACAGGCACCCATGCAGGAGCATCGGCAAAAGAGGCCGGAGGCCGCGGCCTCCCTCGTCGGGGCTGAGGCACTCCCGCAAGCGTTGGCAGTCATTTGGTATCACATGCTGCGTCACGAGCAGGGCGTTGCGTGCAGCTCACGCGCGGGCGCCGCCGCCCGAGGCGGGCCGAGACAAAATACGCGAGGGCGAGGGCGGAGAGGGCGAGGGCATAGCCGGCCCCCTGGGGGCCAGGAGGGCGGAGCCCGCTTGCCCGCCGGCCGCCCTTGCCGAGGACACGGGGCACCATCCGGCCGGGACCCGACACCCCTCACACGGGGCTCGCTTCGGGGCGCGCGGGACCGCACGGGGCCCAGACCCGGTCCAGAAGCGGCGGGGCCCTGCGATCCGGCGGGGCATCTGCGCGCGTCCGTGTCCACGATCGCCGCCGCCGCCGCCCCGTCTGCCACGCGACTGGGCCCGGCCCAGGGTGGCCTCGGCATTGCCACCGGCCGGGCAGGGGCCGATGCCAGCCGGCTGGGGGGGGGGGGGCGGGGCGGGGGGGGGGGGGGGGGGGGGGGGGGGGGGGGGGGCCCAAGCACGACCAGGGGGACCCCCCCCCCCCCCCCGCCCCTCGTCCGGGAGGCCCATTCACCTGGCGGCACGGCGCTTCCGGGCCGTGCGGAGAGGCCGCCCCACAAGCCCGACCCTCAGCCCCCCGCCCCCTCTCGCCACGCCTTCTTTTTCCCTCGCGCCCCCCCCCCCCTCCCCCCCTCGCCCTCGCCCTCGCCCTCTCCGGAGCCCGTCCTCCCTGGCCCCCCTTCCACGGCACTTGCTGTTACGCCGCGGGCCTCTATGACCATGGGCCTGCGCACCGTGGGCGCTTGGCGGCCGCCACGGCCATGGCCGGTGCCGCTGCTGCTGCTGCTGCCGCTGCTGCTGCCGCTGCTGCTGCTGGCCGCCGGCTGCTGGGGCCCAGCGGCCCGGGCATCGCCCACGTCGGCCCTGGAGGATGGCGCCGGGCCGGGCCTCGACCTGGCCGGCCTGTCCCGGCACCTGGGGAGTCTCCCCTGGCAGGGCGCCCCGGCGCCGGTCCGGCCGCTCGCCAGCAATCCCCCGCTGCCGTACAGCCAGACCCCGAGCCCCCTGTTCGAGCATTACAATCCCAACGCGGTGGTGGGCTTCTTCACCAGTGGGCTGGGCTTCCATCGTAGCCAGCTGGCCCTGCCGGGGCCCGAGGGCCTGGTGATCGTCCACGGGCAGGCGGATTTGCTGTTCAGCCTGAATGGCGACTCCCGCTCCGGGTCGCTGCTGCGCGGTGCCCCGCTGGCGATGCTGGGGGCCCACCTTTCCCCGGCATTGTCCGGGTCTTGGAAAATGCTGGTGGCCGAAGGCCAGCAGGGGGCCGAGCTGATCGCCCTGTCACCCGGCCAGGTGGGCCACTTTCGCAACAACCAGTGGCATCTGGCCAGCTTCTCGACGGCCGTCACATACCTCGCGCACGGGGTTCCCCACCAGGGCGCCGTCCATCTGCTGATGCACCAGCCGCTGACCCAGGGCCTGGAGCTTCGCTACCTCTCGACCACCAGCACCGTCAAGCACTTTGCGTTTGCCACCCCGGCCGGGGCCACGCCTCGGGCCATCCTCGACCGGTCGGGCTACTTCCTGGTCTGGCACCAAGCGACGCTGGCCATTTTCCATGTGGATTCCCCCCCCGGCGCCGGGCCCACCTGGTCGACCACCCTCGCGGAGCCCCTCGGCGACCTGGTGTCCCTGCCGGTGTCGGGGAATTCCAACAACGGCCTGGTGTCCATCTTTGACAGTGGCGCCATCTATGTGTGTCCGGACTTTGTGAGCGGCGGGTGCAATGACACCTGGCAGGTGGACCTGTCCGGGGCCGGGCTCCCGCCAGGCGCCCGGCTGCGCGCCCACGGGTCGCCTCACATCAGTCTCGAGCCCACGACCCCGGTAAGGTGGATGCTCCTGCGCGACGAGGTGTCCGGGCGCCTGTTCAGCCTCTCCCTGGTCAGGGGCGACGCGCTGCCGCTCACCGAGCTGGTCATGCCGGCCGGGGCCCCGGCCTCGGCCTCGCTGCGGCCCTTCCTCACGGCCACCGGGTCGACCTCAGCCACATGGGGCCTGACCGATGGCTGGGAGCTGCTCCTGCCGAATCACTTCTTCTGCTCCGGCGACCCCACCATCCTGTGTGCCATGCAAAGCCACTCGTCCCTGCCGAGGGGCTTCTCCTGCGCCGCGTCTCGCGGCCTGTCGCTCTTGAACTTCCCCGGCGCGCTGTGCGGCGGCTGTGCCGACGGCATGGCCATGGGGGCCGATCCCAGCGCCGCGGCCCGTATGTCCTTTCCTCACCCGCGCGTCGTCGCCCACGCGCGCCCGGTGTCCCCCCCCCCCCCCCCCTCGCCCTGGGCTTCCTTCCTGCCGGCCACGCGCCGGAGCTAACCCTGCCTTGCGCCCGCGCCCGCGCCCGTCCCCGCCGGCCCCACGCCGAAGCCTGCACAACCTGCCCCATGGAGAAGTGCAGCGTGTGCGCCGGCTCCTCCTGCCTCGTGTGCTCGGACACACACTTCTTGCTGGTCGACCCGCAAACCGGCGTCGGCTCGTGCGTGGCCGCCTGCCCGCCGGGCACCGAGCCACAGCCGGGGGCTTCCCGGTGCATGCGCCCGGAAAATGCCCCCCTGCCGGCTCTGCCGACGGTCGCGCACCAGCTCAGCCCGCTGGTGCTGGACCCGTCGGACCCGGGCCCGCCGGCCATCCTGTCGATCCTGCCCTCGCGCCTGCATGTGTCCAACGGCGTGTGCCTATTCCACCCGACCGGCGTGACCGCCGAGCAGCTGCTCGGCAATGCGGTCCTCTTCCGGTCGGGCGGCGCTGCGCCCCTGTGGCTTCGGCCGGACCCCAGCAGCCCGGGATCCCTGCTGTCGAGCCAGATGCCCTGCTCGATTGTCCCGGTGTCCGGGGTGGAGCTCACATCGGCGGTGGAGGTGCCCCCGGTCGTGGACGCCCACGGTACGGCCACGATCCATGTGCTGGCCTGTGACCGAGATGGCACCATCTACCTGTCCTCCTTCACTTGTCCCAACTCGGGTGCGGCGCAGGGCTGTCTCCTGGTGCTGGCCGCCGTGCCGAAGGTGCTGTCCGGGCTCGGTTGCGTCGAGGTGGCTCTGCTGGGCGACAGCCTGGCCGCCTTGCGCTTGGCCAGCGGCGATGTCTCGCTGTTCCAATTCGCCCCCTCGGTCGATGACACATTGGAGGCCGTCCTGCCCGGGGTCTCCTGGCTACCGGTGCTCTTTCCCGGGGTCCGGGGCTGGACCGGGCCCAGCTCGCCCGCCGGGTGGGTGTTCCAGCCGCCAAGCCAGCCACTCGGCCTGCCAACCGGCGTCCTGTACCCGCTGGATCTCCTGATGGGCAAGGACCCGCGCGCCCAGGCCACCAAGCGCTGGGGGGCCCTGCGCGCGCGGCAATCGCCCCACAGCCCGGGCCTCGCAGATCTGGAGCCGGTCCTGCTGGCGGGCGTTCGCCCGGCCGGGGCCACCCCGGCCTCCCCTCCGACCGGGGAGTTTTTCCTCTCCGGAATGCACTACGACGCCACTCTGCAGTGGGTTTGGACGGTGGCGCACCCGCCCTTCGGGGCTCACTACACCGGCCGCACATCGGCCATCCCGTACAATGTGGAAATCCTCGGGCGGATCTCCGGGCCGAGCCCGCTCTTCGACGGGCTCCCCTACCGGACCCTGCCCGTGGTGCTGTCCTGGTCGGAGGAGCTCCCCGGGGCGCTGGTTCTCCTGACCCCCAGGGTCCTGGGCGTGGCGCTGGTCCAGTGTGATGGGTCTTCCGGGTGGGTGTGCCGGCTGCTGCCGGCCCAGTTTTTCGCCCTGCCCTCGGAAATCCCGGGCAATTTGTCGCACGTCGCCCTGCTGCCAGTGGCGCATGCTCCGGCCCCGGCCGGGCTGGCCGCCACCGGCCACCAGCCGGCAAGCGCGCGCGGCTCCGCCAGCCACGTCCCCACGTCCACGGTGCTGCTCATGGCCAAGGGCCTGGACGCGCCTCTGGTGCTGACCCTGAGCGAGCACCGGTGCCCGGTGGGCACCTTCGGCCCGGCATGCGCCGACTGCAGCCCCGGGTGCGCCAGCTGCACGGGCCCGGCCCCGGCCGAGTGCCTCGCCTGCCGGCACTGGCTCCCCGGCTGGGAGTCCGAGTGTCTGCCAGCCTGCGATGGGCTGGCCGTGCCGATCCCCGGCCGAGCGGACTGCGCTTGTAGCGACGTGTGCGCCCGGTGCGAGGTTGTCTCGGTGGCCGGCACCAATGTGGCCTCCTGCGCCGAGTGTAACCCCGGCTGGGCGCCGCCCCCCCCGGCGGGGTCCCCCTCGGCGGTGCCCTGCCAGCAGTGTGCTCCCTCCTGCGGGGAATGCTCGCTGCCGGGCGATGCCGGCCGCTGCACCGCCTGCCTGGAAGATACGTACCTGCACCTGGGCCAGTGCCTGGCCGCCTGCCCGGTGGGCTTTGTCCCGGACCCGGCCCGGCAGGAGTGTCGCCCCTGCCCGAGCGGCTGCCTGGAGTGCTCTGCCGAGGGGACCTGCTCGCGCTGTGCCCCGTCGCTCTTCTGGGACAGCCCCAGCCTGCGGTGCAGCCCGTGCCATGGGTCGTGCGCCGAATGTCGCAGCCATGCCTCCTGCACCGCCTGCCGGCCGGGGCTGGTGTTCCTGGCGACCGAGCCGGGCCTGGAGTCCCTGTGCGGGAGTGTCTGCGGCCCGGGCGAGTATGTCGGGGCTGGCCGGTGCGCCGTGTGCGATGCCTCCTGCGCCCTGTGCGCCGGCAGCGCCGCCGCCTGCCAGGTGTGCGCGGCTGGCTTCCGCTGGACGGCGAGCCCGCCGGCGGCCGGCGGCACCGGGTCCTGCACGGCCTGCGCGGCCGGGTGCTCCTCCTGCACGGCGGCCCGCTGCCTGGCCTGCGAGGATGGCCTGCTCCTCGATCGCCAGGGCGCATGCGTGTCGGCCTGCCCGGCCGGCACATACGCCACCGACGAGTCGTGCCAGCCGTGCGACGTCAGCTGCGCCGCGTGCGCCGGCGGCCGGGCCGACCAGTGCACCGGCTGCGGGGCCGGGCTGGAGCTCGTCGAGGTGGGCCCGGCCGTGGGCACCTGCGAGTCCAACTGCCTCGAGGGCCAGTACCGGGACACGAGCTCCAACGCGTGCACGGACTGCCACGCCGCGTGCGCCACCTGCAACGGCCCGTCCGACAAGGACTGCTGGCGGTGCCGGGATGCCGTGCTGCAGGATGCCGACTGCGTGCAGGTGTGCGCGGCCAGGCACGTGGCCCTGGCCGGGCGGTGCCTGCCCTGCCATGCGTCGTGCGAGCAGTGCGCCGGGGTCCGGAGCACCGACTGCACCGCCTGCCCGGGGGAGCTGCGGGCCCTGCCGGCCGGGGCGTCGCCCATGCGCTGCGTGGCCGGCTGCCCGGTGGGCTACCACACCGGCGGGGCCGGGTGCGCCAAGTGCGGCGACCGGTGCACCAGCTGCCCCGCGGCGGCCGACACATGCGCCCTGTGCGACCGGGGCTTTCTGCTGGGCGCCGGCGCCTGCGGGACCAGCTGCCCGGCCGGGTCCTCGCCGCAGGGGGGGCTGTGCACCACCTGCCACAGCACCTGTGCCACCTGCTACGGCCCGGAGCCCGGCCACTGCCTCAGCTGCTCGGCCGACACGCCGCTCCTGACGGGCGGGGCCTGCTCTGCAACCTGCCCGGATGGGACCTTCCAGGATGGGCAAAGCTGCCTGCCCTGCCATGCCACCTGTGCCGCGTGCTCCGGCCCCGGGGAAACCGAGTGCACGGTGTGCCCGGCCGACCGTGCTCTGCTGGCTGGCACGTGCCTTTCCGCCTGCCCGGCCGGCTATCACCGGGCCCCGGCCGGCGGCGGAGCCCCCAGCGACCGATGCCTCGCTTGCGATTCGTCCTGCCGCGAGTGCAGCGGCACCGGCAGCTCCGAGTGCACCTCGTGCCATGGCATCGACCTGCTTCTCGAGGGCCGGTGTGTGGACGAGTGTCCCGCGGGGACCTTCGGCTGCAGTGCCTCCGGCCGGTGCGACCCCTGCGACGCCCGGTGCGCCGAGTGCACGCTGGCCGCCAACCTCGGGGACCGCTGCACCGCCGACTGCCACACCTGCAGGGCGGGCTTCGTCCTGTCGCCCTCGACGCACACCTGCGACGTGGCCTGCCCGGCGGGCGAGTTCACGCCGGACTCGGTCCTGTGCGCCGCCTGCGACGCCGACTGCCGGTCGTGCCACGGGCAGGCCAATGCCTGCACCTCCTGCGCGGACGCCTCGCGGTGGCTGCTGCTCGATGGGGCCGCCTGCGTGAGCAGCTGCCCGGGGGAGAAGTTCGCCGCGGCGGAGTTCCCCTCGGCGCCCTTCCCCGCGCCGGCCCGGGTGTGCCTGTCCTGCGCGCCGGGGTGCCTGCGGTGCGAGGCCGGCCCCGGGCTGGCGGCCTGCTCCCTGGCCGCGGACGGGCTGCTGGCCTGCCCGGAGGCGGACGTCTGCACGGCGTGCAACTCGCCGCTGCTGCTGCACGGGGGCCGGTGCGTGGGCGAGTGCCCGGAGGGCACGTTCGCCGACCCGGACGCCCCGACGCCGGCCTGCCTCGCCTGCCACGCGAAGTGCAAGGCGTGCACCGGGCCCGAAAGGGCCGACTGCATCGGCGGCACATCCTCCTCGCGGGGCCTCGGTACGCATGCTGCCCCTGCTTTTGTTGACACACCCTGCGCACACGCATCGCTGACCGGCGGCGCCTCGCCGGGCCTTGCCCGCATCAAACGCGCCTCGCTCGCTCGCCCCGGCTGTCGGACGCCAGCCCTCGGCTTGGGCATCGGCCTGAGTCTGCTGCTGCTGCTGATCCTCCTGCTGGCTGTTCTCTTCTTGTATTTGCGCTTCCGCCGCCAGCGCCGCGCCCCGGCCAAGGTGCGTTCACATGCCACCGCCTCCTCTATCCCCCCCTCCCCCTCCTCCCTGCTGGCTGAGCTGTGCCCCGCCCCCCTGACACGCCCCCGCCTGGCCGTGATAGCATCTCGATGACGAGGATGCCACCGTGCTCAACACAATCATCGGTGCGCTGCGCGTTGCCTTGCCTGCCTCTTGGTGTTGGCCCCCTTCCACCCAGCTGCGCGCGCATACTGACTCGGCGCTCCACACGGGTGCAGAAATTTCCCTCCCCGGCAGCATCCTGGTCAGCGTGGCCAATGACTTTGCCGCCCTCAATGAGGATGCCCTGGGCGCCGGGACCCAGGCGTCGGTCTTTGCGGCGCGCGCCGTCGGGGCCGGCATCTCCGACCGGCTGGGCTGCCCGGGCACCGTGGCCATCAAGCAGCTGAAGACCGCGCGCATGACGCCCACGCAATTTTCCCTCTTCCAGAACGAGGTGGCCCTGATGTGGCTGCTGCGCGACGCGCCGAACGTCGTCCGGCTGTACGGGTACAGCGAGCAGCCGCCGGCCATCATCATGGAGCGCTACCAGACGGATCTCGGCACGCTGCTGCACTCGGAGGTGCCGCTCGAGCAAGCGGCCCTGCTGGACATCTGCCAGCAGTGGGCCTCCGGGCTGGAGGCCATGCACGCGCAGGGCATCGCCCACTGCGACCTGAAGCCGGGCAACGTCTTTGTCAGCCAGCGCCCGGATGGCAGCTGGCGCGCGGCCCTCGGGGACCTGGGCACCTCGCGCAACCTCAGCTCCGACCGGTCGTCGGCCCTGGTGGCCCAGCCGCCGGAGCTGAATGCCCTGACCGGGCGCTACGCCGCGCCCGAGGTCCTGGCCGCCTTCCAGCGGAAGCGCCCGCTTGATCGCGAGCTCTTCCTCCCGGCGGACATCTACAGCGCGGCCGTCATGCTGTGGGAGTGCCTGGCCCGGGCTCTCCCCTGGGAGGGGGCCTCCTTCGATGAGATCGCCGCGCATGTGCTGGCCGGCGACCGGCCGGACCTGGCGCGCGCCCCCGCCGCCGGGCCCCTTGCCGACCTGCTCCACATGGCGTGGGACTCCAACGCCCCGGGCCGGCCGCTGGCCGCCTCCTTCCGGCAAAAGTGCGCCATGCAGGCGGCCCTCTGTGTCTGACGCGCGAGCGAGGCGCCCCGGTGTGTGGCCCTAGCCGCTCGCACCCGCGCCGCCCAGCCCCACGGGGGCCTGGGCAAATACACCCCCCTCGCCTTTCGCGCCGCCCTTGTTGTGTGTACGCTGCTCGCGCATGCCGGCCCTCGCGCCCTCCCCCCCGCCCCTCTCCCGCGAGACCGAAGCAGGCGCGGCATTGGCCGCCGGGGACCGGGCGCCAGACAGGGGCATCCGCAGCCTGTCCTTGTGTCCGGGCCCCCGCCCTGGTCGGAACCGTCGGCGCGACCAACCCACCCCCATGGGCGCCCGGCACCTCGCCCCGGCTGCAGGCGCCTGCGGCCCCCTCTCCCATGCCTTGCGGCAGCACTGCCGGCCCCTGGTTACCCATTCCCCGGGCATGGGCCTCATGCTGCCGGCCACCCAGACATGGCCGGATCTGGCCCGACGATCGGACGGCCGCATTTCACAAGACGCCCAGCGCCCCCCGCCTCGCCGGTCCGCGAGCCGCGCACAAACACACACACACACACACACACACACACACACACACACACACTATTGCACCCCCCGGCAGGGGGGCCGGCTGCACGCCCGGGCCCCGGGCGGCGGAGGGAGAACCCCGCCCGCCCCGGGCGGCCGCATCGCCCCTCATTTCAAGTGAGGCGACATGCCGATGTAAATGACCGCGACATGGCCGCGAAACACAGGCCCCCTGCGGCAACTTGCCGCGGCGTTTCACTCTGCCAAAAAAAGGCGGCATGCCGGCGTGACAGGCAGCGAAGTGATCCCCCTGGCTGGGCTCGGGCAACGCATGAGTAAGCGGCAACGTGCGTATATATCCGCGGTACGAGGGAGAAAAGACAATAGGCAGCGAGGCCGGGCTACTCGCCCAAGCGTTGGCAATCGGTGAGTGATGCGCCGCGCCACGAGAAGGGCATTACACGGCGGCCGGGGATCACATGCACATCATTCCCCGGGCCGCGCGTGATGACACCGTAGGCTGCTCCCGGGGGAGGGCGCGCCCAGCGGGGCGCTCGTCCGGCGCCGCGGCGCGGCCTGCCGCCGTTCGCGCGTGCCACGGCCCCCACCAATGCGGATGCTTCGCAATTCATGCGGCTTTTCACGGGGTCACCCATTCAGGCCCCCCCCCCCCCCCCCCCCCCCCCCCC